TTTGGTCGCACAATTGACTTATGCTAATAAGATTAGCGTGAAGTCCACGGACAAGTAACACTTTGTCCAGTTTTGGCAAACCAGCTATATTTAAAGTGCCTACGCCAGTCACTTGACCTTTGACACCGTCACCAAAAGTAACTTCACCGTTACTGGTGTTGACGTTGTTCAGAAATTTTACATTCCCTGTCATGTGACGGGAACCCCCGCTGTCAAAATACCATTTTTCTTCTCGTCCTGCACTTTTAGTATGAAATGAAACAAAAGATATATAATCATCCTTTTTGACCCAAATCTGTTTTGTGATCGGTTGAATGTTCTTGTGCCTGAACTTCTCAATCATTTGATCTTTGTAGAAGTAGTAACATTCAGGTCTGGTATGTTCGCGTAACCTGCAATAGTGGCAAACAGGATTATATAGCTTATAGCTCATCTTATGTACGTTTACTTCACCATAAGAGCGTTTCACAATGCTGCATTCAGGGATGTCGTCTGGAACAGGTCCAGATGCTTTGACAAAAACAGTCTTATCTTTGGAGTTAGTGCCAGTGAAGCCCAAGCCAAATTTTGCAGAAGTTTTCCTGCCGGAATCAAGAATCTTATCGAGTGTTGAAGTGGTATCCATCATTTGGATTTGTCGTTTGTAGGTGCTGAGCTCCTGTTTCAACTTCTAAACTTCTTGTTGGAGTTTTGCTTCTCGGTCAGCTGCTTCCTTAAGAAGTACCTTTCCGGTTTGTACTTCGTGTTGTAGTCTTTCTTCTCAACCTGCTGCTTCTTTAAGCAAAACATTCCTATCAACTACTTGATTTTGATATACTTTATTTGCATTCGTTATAATCTCTATTTCACTAGCTAGTTTGCAGTTCATTTTTCTTAATGCTTCCCATTTGGGATACAACTTATTAAATTCAGCTTCAAAAGATAAAGCACTTTGTTCCACATCTTCTGCAGAGACGTAGTCACCACCTTCTGAGTCTTCAACAGGTTCTGAACTGTCAGTAAATCGTGCTGTGAATGCAACAAAATTACCCGAAATTTCTTCGACATCTGACCCAGTTGGTTCAACATCGGGCTCGTCATCGCTCCAAGTAATGGCTGACATAGATTTTTTGCGTCGAAGATAGGTGGCGCATTCAGCTTGTACATGCCCAAATCCTTCGCATTCATAACACTTGATGCCTTTGTTATTGGACCTTTCTTTGGACTGTCCTGGACGTGAGACAGACTGCTTGGCGTTTGATGTCCCTGTCCTAGGTGTAGTTTTGAACGACGTTCCTCCCTTTTGTGAACTTCTGTTGCGAGTGTTTTTGGATACCTGTTTCAGAATTTTAGAAAACTGTTTAGTCAAGAATGCAACCGTATCTTCACTAGTTTCATCTGTATCGGATACTACATTAATTTCTTCAGCGGCAAAAGCAATATTTTTTGTTTTTTTTGTATGATCAGTTAAAATCTCCATTTCGTAAGTTTTAAGATTTCCCATAAGTTGAGTAACAGATTTTTTTCTCCCAACCATCATGCTCTGCTCTTGGATGGCTGTGACTTTCACTCGGAACCTGGGCGGTAAAGATCTCAGTATCTTCTTAACAAGTTTTTCCTGCGAAAATGGTTCACCAAGGACCATTGCACGATTTGCCAGTTCCTGTATGCGTGTATGAAAGTCGATGACTGTCTCATCCTCGTTCATGTGCAGTTCTTCGAATTCTGATTGGACCAGTTGCAGCTTTGACTGTTTTACCGAGGTAGTTCCTTCGTATGTAGACTCAAGAGCCTCCCAAGCACCTTTAGCTGAAGGAATACCTGCAACAATTGAGAACTGGCTTTCATGCATAAGAGAATAAATTGTGTCTAAAGCCTTATCATTGTTTCCAGCGTTGGTTATTTCTGTTTGAGTCCACTCAGTCTCAGGCTTAGCTATTTCTGTTCCGTCAGTGCTGGAACTGGGTTTGGTGGGATGTGTCCAACCTGCCACCACAGACCGCCACACGGCTTCACCTTGAGCTTTTAGATGCGTACGGGTGCGAGCCTTCCAATATGCATAGTTGTCGCCAGTCAACTGGGGAAGGACTTTAGTTCGATCCATTCTGTAACACTTAACACCCCGTGAGATCAAACAAATAAGCAATAAACAGGTAAATAAAAATAGCCGCTGAAGAAATGAGTTCAAGATGCACGGATTCGCCAGATCGATAGACTAATAGATTAAGTCTACAGGCTCTGATACCAATTGAAATTGTACCGTGATACTTGAAATATAAAAGTTATGTGTTTTTATACGTTAATTGAGTTATGCACCAATTTAGTTAATTAATTAAACTCATTTATGCAAGTATAAATAATAACTGCAGAAAGCATAAATAAAATAAAAACACAAGGAAATTGTTACGCAGTTCGGAGCTCCTTCTCCTACGTCTGTGGGGCAACCCACGTCTGCCCAATCCACTATAGATGTTCACCAAAGGAGTATTACAATAGGTAATTGAATACGGCCTCCAGCCTTTACCACTACCACTCTTTCTAACACCTATCCAGGACTGACACACGAATACCCGAACAATCTTCACAAGTTGCTTCAGCAATACCACGTACTGATCATGCAGTACAAAATAAATATTCTTACGAATTAAATCAGAAATTACATTTAAAGTATAAATTGCTTTGTAAATTCAAGAGAGCTCTCGCAATATGTAATTCTCAAAAATTGGCAATAGCTTCCTTCGAACAGTGTCCTTTTATAGCACTTCTTGAACCTTTAGCTTAGATCCTCAACCATAGCCTTTTCTTTAGCTACCACTTGTTCGAATGAGTCACCACCACTTATTTTTGTCCTTTTGAAATCTTCTTCGCAGATTAAGGATACAAAGCATGCTAACCACTTATTTCATACTCACATGGTCCATAAAGAATTAAAACAAATAACACTAATTTATTTTAATACTAGTAAGAACAATAAAATAGCCAATAGTGTAATTTTATTTTACACTTACAAAGGATATAAACTTGTGTTTGGTTCCTTGTAATTTATCGAATTCAGATTTTCAAAATGTGATTGTCGATTTTTTTGGTCACCCAAAAAAAAAAAAAATACTACTCATTCTTTATTTAAAAAAGAGGGGAAAAAAAGGGGGTTAAAAAAAAATATGTTTTAGAAGGGAAAAACAAAGTGTACTCATTCTTTCTTTAAAAAAAATGAAGGAAAAAAAATTGGGTTATAGATCCACCGAAATGGGTTACCTTAACCGATGTGTTTTCTAACAAGGTGTTTTCTAACAAGGAAAAGCCCGAAGTCTGTTCCCATCCCTGTCAGGAGAGATGCCAACCATCTCTCCTTTCTACGAACAGTCATTTCTCTGGAGTAGACATATATAAACCGTATTAAAACCTTATAAATATCCGATGTGGGACAACAACAATATTCATTTACCCCACCTCCCACATTGTCTCTGCCACCGCTTAACGACGAAGATGATGATTTCTCTCCCGTTGGATCCCCTGACTTCCAAGACAACCCCACCGATGACCGGCAAGCTGGCAATTACCCCTCTCTCTCTTGTTGATATTGCGGAATTTTGCAATACGTCCATTGTGAGCATTTCACGTACTGTAAGGAACAAGTGTATATATAGGATTTAAGTTTGAAGTACATGATTGTGTTTAGTTTAAAAAAAAAAAAAAAAAAAAAATTACTTTTATTTTGTCTACCGTCCTACTCCTATGTAAACGCATTGAGTAAATGCATTTGATAATTCTCACCCACAAGTGTTGAGTACTCCTTCTGGAAGGAGCTACTTGCTCCAAAAGGTGCTCCTTCCGGGAGAAGCTTTGCTAATTAGGACAAAAGGAGGAGAAGCTTTGCTAATTAGGACAAAAGGAGGAGAAGCTTTGCTAATTAGGACAAAAGGAAGAAAATATAAAAAGACTATTTCTTGTTCACGAACGAATTATGATAATGATCATGTACATATGTTCATATGAATGTATTCGTTAACTGTTAACGAACACTAATAAATAGAATGTGCTTAAAAACGAATACGAACATAATTTTCAAAAATCTTAACAAACAAACAAAAACACTCCAAAAATCCACAAAATATGTTCTACAAATAATGCATCTCATGTAGAAGAAAAATAAACATTATGCACTATGTGACCCACACAATCCACCTAACAAGAATTAAGCACAAGTAATATAATGGATTTTGCAAAAAGTAACCAAAATTCTAAGTATGAGATTAGGTAGGGGCCGCGCGAACGCAGGCCCCTCTGCCACAAATTATGACGTAGGCTCCACCATTAAGGTAGACCTTAGATTGACACCCTTCCAAAGTGCAATGGAAGTCATCAATCTAGGCCATAGGCCTTGATGATCGCCCATTGACCCCGTCCAGGTAAGTATGGAACCAGTTATTATTCGGCCCATTTTTATAACCCATTGCTATGCTCCACCTTTTGTCTTCTGTCGATGTGGGAATCTCTTAAGTATGCAAGTGAACTGTTTCTTCTTCTGCTGCATGCTCTTTTCTTATTGATTTGGGTCTTTTCTTTTGCTGTTTTTTCTTACTGACATTTACAAAATCTAAATTCCTTAGCATATTTATTGCATCAACAAAAGTTAAAATGGTATCAAAATTGATGTATCTAAGAGATGTATGGTAATAGGATGCAACTCTTTTCTTTTTTTTGAGGAAAAAGGATGCAACTCTTGAACCAACTTCAATTCTCTTCAGACATAATTGTTGTATGTTCTGTTGCTTGGGGTTGTGACAATGGAAAGGTTGATTCAAAGCTTGTGATGAATAATCTCTAAATATTCAGAGGATTAAGTAGCTGCACAGTGTTAAACTCAGGTTCTGATTTGGCATGTTAAGGCTCAAGATAGCAACAACATATATCAAATTTCAACCCTGCACTCAACCGTAAGACAAACGGAGAAAGACCTGGAACACCTTGTGGTTTACACCAAAATATATAAGCTGAAATGCCGTTTTGGATCATGATCCACAATATAAGGTGAAGGTATAACAAGATAAAAAAAGACTCGACCTTTAAACTGCACTGAATGAAGGCTGATATGCAAAAAATTGCACAGTTTCAAGTGAAAAATATAATGTATACATAGGTAGTTGAAACTGCCATCAAGGGGGAATGAAAGGATAAACAGTTGTATTATGGCGTACGGTGGTAACAGAAAGTTGGACACAAGTGAGCAAGTTACCGTGGTTTTATAGAAGCAAAAAGTTCCTTGAACGAACGCTTAGGGGCTTCGGTTCTAGCAACTATCTCCACCACTTTGTAGTGAGATTCTGGATGGAGCAACGCCTCGACTGCAACTTCAGCAACCTGATCTCTAGATATAGCACCTCCAGAAAGTGTATCCTAAATCGTTTTGAAGCGAATGAGGAAAGATTCAATTTAGAAATGAAGTTCAAATGTTTAAGCTATAAATTAAAGAATTACCTCTGGCTCCATGACTATGTTTCCATTTGGAGGATCATTTCTCAGTCCACCAGGCCTTATGATTGTGTAATTGATCCCCGACCTCCTTATGTACTGCTCTGCTTGAAGCTTCGCGATCAATGTCAGTCCAAACACATTAAGAATTATGTAGGATGGATTAAACAACTGTCCCATTGCAGCTCCATTGACTAGGATAGAGCTTATAAGGATAAACCTATTAACGCCTTGTTTTCTGCATGCATCAACGAGGTTTACGGTGCCAAAGTTATCCACCTGCACCAGAAACTTGATACATATTAGTCAGACTGTTGACTTGGTAACCATAAAATTACAAGCTAAAACTCCCAGTGGGAGTGGTCTATTAGCCAGCCTTCTTGGTTTGAGCTGGAAGCTAGGCCAGTTTACCTCCTTTTTAATTTTGGTCAGGCACTCCACCTGGTACCACAAGATTATAAGTTCAACTCTCAATGGGAGTGGCCTATTAGCCTTCTTGGTTTAAGCCGGGGAGTTATGGGTATCCTTTTACCGGGTAGAGTTAAAGGCGACCCCTCTAGTAGTGATTCACATAAACTGGAATCAGCAAAGCAACAATGACTCACCTTCCATGGAGCCAATAAATCCCATGAAGGCCGAAATCCAGCTGCACATATCACTGCATCTGAATCTTCACCTATGGCATCACCTAATTTAGTAGCTCCCTCTGTTACATCAGCTTTTACCTAAAATCAGATCATTTAACAATAAAAGTTTTAGAATAGAATTATTCTTTCTTTTTCTTGTGGATGTTTGAGCATCCATCCCAAATTAAAACAACAAATCCTAGATTAGCATCATAATAATCTCCCAAATTCCTTCAGATTAGCGCAATTTTTTGTTTTAGGCGCTCAATTGATGAATTGAAGAAACAAATCCCACTCACAATTTGAAGATGAGGGTTTCCGCCGGGTAAGCTTGTTTTGGCCTTATCTACATCGCGAACGCCTGCCTTAACAGCAAACCCCTTTGTCAGAAGCTGTTCAACTATCCTCTTGCCGGTGTTCCCAGTAGCACCTGCTACAAATATCTTCTTCTTCTTCTGGCTACTACCCGCTTCTTCTTCCACCTTCATTTCACTTCCCTCCATCTGTACTCAACCAAAAACAAAATCGCCATTAGACTGTAAAATCAGCTTTCCTGATTGTTCTGTGCTATCACTGTCAACAGAATTGAAGAACGGGAAAGAGAGAGAAAGAGGTACTATATATACATTTGATGCTTTGAGAAGAAAGGAGCGGGAGCGGGATTTAGAAGGAAAGAGAGAGTGAGAGACTGAATTAACAGTGAAGGAGGGGAAGATAGAGGTTCTGAGGGAGAAGAGACCAGAAGCTGCCATTCGCGGCCGACCAGACAACCACACGTCCACACGTCCACACTTATAATTTATTTATTTATTTTTTAAGAAAAAGTACCAATTGCCAATGGCATAAGTTGCTCCCTATGTGGTACATAATGTGGGTTTGAGTTTTAAATGTTTTTTTCTTGGTAGAATCTAGAGTAAATACTCAAAATGGTTCATCGACTATAGCTAAATTCATAAATTGGTCCTCGACTTTCAATTTCAACCAATTAAGTCCTTAACTTTGTAATTTTGACACGATTTGGTCATTCATCTATTTGACCGTTTGTTGACCGTGATAGACGATCTCCAGAAGAACCTTCAGCTCTCGTTGAAGCATGTGGAGGCCTCCAGGATGACATTGCACTGGTTCGGAAACACGCCGTCTTCTTCGCTCTGGTACGAACTCAACTACATTGAATCCAAAGGGAGGACGAAGAAAGGCGATCGGATTTGGTAGATTGCTTTCGGCAATGGATTCAGATGTAACAGTGCGGTCTGGAAATGCAACTAGAACCTTAAAAACAGACGATGGACCATGAAATTACATATATATCCTCAAAAATCACAGTCAACAAACGGTCAAATCGACAGCGGACCAAATTGTGTTAAAATTACAAAGTTAAGGACTTAATTGGTTGAAATTGAAAGTCGAGGACCAATTTGTGAATTTAGCTATAGTCGAAGGACCATTTTGGGTATTTACTCTAGAATCTAAAAATAGATTACCTAAATAATCTGAGTCTTATATTACAAGACATTGGTATGGGAAGTGTTGATGTGGAGATGGACTCCCAAGTTGTTTTTAATGTTATTTCCGGTACTTCTTTTTATTCTGCTTTTGGTTTATTGATTGATGATATTAAAGATTTGGCATCTGAGATTGATGATGTCCAATTCTGATTCGTTAGGCATTCTGGGAATAGTGCCGCCCATATTATTGCTAGGGAGGTCTTTTCTGAGTCAGGTTGCGGGGAGTGGTTTGACATTCCACCCCCTTTCTTGTAAACACTATTGTTCGTGATTTAATGTATTAAGTTTTGATTTTCAAAAAAAAAAAAAAAAAAAAACACTGAATCTTATATTACTTGAAAGTTGATGTAGCGATAATGTTTCAAGGTAATCACGTTAATGTGATTATTTTCATTTTCTTAGGTAATCTTAAATTACCTTGAATTATTCCAATTTTACCCTAGTTAACTAATCCTTATCCTTATATAATAATAATAATAATAATAATAATAATAATAATAATAATAATAATAATAATAAAAAGAAATAAATATATGTTTATATAATCAAATATACATGTGTATATTTATATATTTAGTTTTTTTATTATTTAATCATTAATATACATTCATACATATAAATAAATAAATAAATAATTAATTAAATAAAAAAAAACACACACACACACACACACACACACACACACACACACACACACATATATATATATATATATATATATATATATATCCCACTATACTTATATTTGGGAGTTGTCAATTACCCCTCAAAAATGACACCCCTATCAGTCCTTGATTTGAAATCGTCTGGCTTAGATTTTTTGATATAACATTTAGATTATTTTTTTTTTCTATTGCCCTCAACTTGTAAACAAATTACAAGTTTGCTATATAATATTATATTGCCCCACTTTTAAAGTTAGTGGAACCAAGTTAGCTTTTTGGCTTCTTTTCATCAATGCATTTCTCTCTTTCTTCTCTATCCATGTGACTCTCTCTTTCTCTTCATCTCTATCCATGTGACTCTCTCTTTCTTCTTTACTCTGTGTCTGGTTTTCCTGACTCTCTGGTTTTCCACTCTCTTTCTCTTCATCTCTATCCATGTGACTCTCTCTTTCTTCTTTACTCTGTGTCTGGTTTTATCTCTATCCATGTGACTCTCTCTTTCTTCTTTACTCTGTGTCTGGTTTTCCAGACTCTCTGGTTTTCCATGTCTTCATTCCTGAATTAAACCTTTTCTTTCAGAGCATGGGAGGAAAACACGTGTTGTATAGTTTCGGCCACATCCTCCCAGTGCCAGCCACGTGCACACGAGCTTGAATCAAGCCGTTTGTGTAGACGATGACATATCTCACACAGGAATCTCCCAACCATGCTCTTGCTCTCATGAGTGTGCCCGTTTTGGTCGTGGGTCACCGTTCCTGGTTCTGCGAGAGTTTCTAAAGAATTGTGCCCAACAATTCTCCTTTGAAGCGACCCTCACTTCTCTCTAACATAGGTGATTCTTTCTCGAGTATCCCGCATACTCAAGAATCATTAAAGCATTAACATGCTAACCTCTTGCGGGAGTCACTGTTTTAACGAGGAGTGGTAGGGAGTCCGAGACCCCCACAGTGACGCGCTCCGTTCCATAATTTAGTTGTCCCATTGAACCTAGGTGCCAGCTAGGTTGGGTATCCACTATAGAACTTTTTAGTCCAAGGGCATTAGACCCATTCCTCGTGTCAACTTCTCCACAACTTCTCTTCCTAACCCTTTGGTCAGCGGATCCGCTATATTGTCTTTTGACTTAACGTAGTCAATCGAGACAACACCAGTTGTGAGTAGTTTTCGAATGGTATTATGTACGTCTACGACGCACATGTCTAGACTTACCATTATACATATGACTCTGTACTCTCCCAATTGTGGCTTGACTATCACAATGCACACATATTGGAGGTACCGGTCTTTCCCAATTAGAAATATCCTCTATAAAATGGCGTAGCCATTCAGCCTCTTCACAACCTTTGTCCAAGGCTATCAGCTCAGATTCCATCGTGGATCTAGCTATCACAGTTTGCTTAGAGGATTTCCATGCAACGGCTGCACCAGCTAGTGTAAACACGTAGCCACTCGTGGACTTAGAGTCCTTAATATCTGATATCCAATTCGCGTCGCTATACCCTTCAAATACAGCGGGATATTTCCCGTAGTGCAGTCCAAGATCACGAGTATACCTCAAGTATCTCATAACCTTTACTATTGCCTTCCAGTGCATAGCACCGGGGTTACTTGTATATCTACTGAGTTTACTAACCGCATAGGCAATATCCGGCCTAGTACAGCTCATAAGATACATCAAGCTACCAATAACCCGAGCATATTCCACTTGTGAAATACCTTCTCCATGGTTCTTGGTTAGATGAATATTTGTATCAAATGGTGTCCTAGCCACTTGACTATCATCCTTGTTAAATTTCTCAAGGATTTTGTCAATATAATGTGATTGGCTCAACACGAGACCATCAGGTCTTCTAATGATTCTAATCCCGAGGATTAAATCAGCCAAATCCATATCTTTCATGTCAAATCTCGCATTTAACATGTTCTTGGTAGACTTGATCATCCGATCATTACTACCAACGATGAGAATATCATCGACATATAAACAAAGAATGACGTAGCCGTCTATCGTTTCCTTAACGTAGACACATTTGTCACTTTCGTTTATTTTAAACCCGTTAGTTAACATCGCATGGTCAAACTTCTCGTGCCACTGCTTAGGCGCTTGTTTTAAACCATAGAGCGATTTAACTAACTTACACACTTTCCTTTCTTGGCTCGGAACCATGAACCCTTCGAGTTGTTCCATATAGATTTCCTCATCTAATTCGCCATTTAGGAAAGCGGTTTTCACTTTCATTTGATGAACTTCCAAGTTCTGCAGCGCGGCTATGGCAAGTATCATTCTAATGGAGTTTATTCTCGTCACGGGAGAATACGTGTCGAAGTAATTGAGGCCCTCGCGTTGCCTGTAACCATTGATTACAAGCCTAGCCTTATACTTCTCGATGGAACCATCCGGATTCATCTTCCTTTTAAAGACCCACTTGGATCCTAAGGGTTTACTACCCGGAGGAAGATCAACGAGTTCCCAAGTGTGATTCTGTAGGATAGAATCCACTTCACTTTTTATAGCCTCTTTCCACATTGGTCCTTCCGTAGAAGTCACGGCTTCTACATACGTTCGAGGCTCGTTCTCTATCAAACAAGATAGAAAATCGGGTTCATTTTCTAATAACAAGTTAGAGTACCCGAATTGTACTCTAACAAGTAAGTTAGAAAATCAAGACCGAATGATTTTCCAACTCTCGCCCGCTTACTGCGTCTCTGCTCGAGCTTGGGTTCTTTCTCAGATTCCCCACTATCATTATCCATAGTTTCGTCAAACGTTCGTTTTGACGTACTTGGTCCCTCATTGGACCTACAAGGAAATATATTTTCGAAGAAATATGCGTTCCTTGATTCTATTATCGTGTTCTCGTGTACATCCGGATTATTGGACTCGTGTACTAAGAACCGATACGCACTACTATTATGTGCATAGCTAATAAAGATACAGCCCATCGTCTTAGGACCTATCTTTACTTTCTTAGGTGTTGGCACCAACACTTTGGCAAGACACCCCCACACTTTCAGGTACTGGTAGGAAGGTTTCCTACCGTTCCACAGCTCATAAGGAGTCTTATCGAGCTTCTTGCGGGGTATCTTATTCAGAAGGTAATTGCTTGTCAAAATTGCCTCACCCCACGCATCTTGAGGTAGGCCCGAACTTATAAGCATCGCATTCATCATATCTTTCAATGTACGATTCTTTCGTTCGGCAACACCGTTCGATTGAGGTGAGTAAGGTGTCGTACGTTCGTGTATTATACCTATACTTGCACAGAAGTCACCAATAGGTGCTTCGTACTCACCACCTCTATCGCTTCTAACCTTCTTAATTCTCCGATTAAGTTGGTTTTCCACTTCATTCTTATAAAGAACGAATTTATCAACGGCTTCATCTTTGCTTTAAGCAAATACACATAGCAGTATCGCTTGCTATCGTCGATAAATGTGATAAAATACTTATTACCACCTCTCGTTTGTATCGATCTAAAATCGCACAAATCACTATGGATTAATTCTAGTGGTTCAGTTTCCCTTTCAACCGATTTGAAAGGTACTTTCGTTAGTTTTGCCTCAACACAAATTTCACACTTGTTATTTGTGTCAATTTGAAAGTTAGGAATATGGTCAATGCTAATTAATCTACGCATAGAATTAAAATTAACATGACCTAGTCTACCATGCCACAAATTGGAAGACTCAAGCAAGTAAACAGAATTAACTTTGCTTTTATTGATAACAGGAATTACATTGAGCTTAAAGAGCCCATCAGTTACATATCCTTTTACCAACAAACATCCCTAACTTGGACAAGACTACTTTGTCGGACTCGAACACCATGCGAAAGCCATGCTTGTTCAACAGTGATCCAGACACAAGATTCTTCCTCAGCTCAGGAACATACAGCACGTTATTCAACGTCAGTTCCTTCCCGGAAGTCATCTTCAGAACCACCTTGCCCATGCCTTCCACAGCAGACTGAGCAGAGTTTCCCATCCACACATTTTCACCCTCAACGGTCTCAAAGGTGTTGAACATCTCTCGGTTGCAACACAAGTGCATGGTTGCACCGGTATCAATGAACCATTCACGAGGGTTTGAGCCCACGAGGTTCACTTCGGTCACCATAGCCGAAAGGCTAATCTCGACCTCCTTCTGATTGCTATCTCCAACAATATTGGCTTCAGAACTCTTGTTCTTCTTCCTTGGAGCCTTGCATTCAGATGCTCTATGGCCATGCTTGCCACAATTGTAGCATTCACCAGGAAACTTGTTCTTGGTAACGCCACCTTTCGGACCTAGCTTTCGCTTATCCTTCTTGTTCCTCTTGGAGCTCTTACCGTGCTCCACAACGTTGGCCTTAGCGCCAACAACGATAGGAACTTTCCTATCATTCGTCCTGTTCCCTTCCTCAATCCTGAGTCGCTGGATCAGGTCCTCCAGATTCATCTCCTTTCGCTTATGCTTAAGGTAGTTCTTGAAGTCCTTTCAACTTGGAGGCAACAAGTGGATCACAGATCCCACTTGGAAGGCTTCACTTAGCACATCGTCACGGATCTCATCAAAGATTAATTGCAAATCTTCTACCTGACTTAGCACGGTCTTTGAATCAACCATTTTGAAGTCGAGGAATCGGCCAACCACAAATTTCTTTGAGTCGGCATCCTCACTTCGGTATTTATGATCCAAAGCTTCCCACAACGCTTTTGATGTGCTTATCTTTCGATATACATCATACAGCATGTCACACAGTCCGTTCAGGATGTAGTTTCGGCAAAGGAAGTCCGAATCCTTCCAATAGCCAACTGCCATCACGGATTGTGCATCTTGTTCCTTTAACTCGGGAACCTTCTCGGACAAGAACCTCGCCAAGCCGAGAGTTGCTAGGTAGAACAACATTTTCTGTTGCCACCTCTTAAAGTTCGAATCAACACCGGTGAACTTCTCCGGCTTTTCAGCCAAACCACTCGGTACCGATGGTACCCGAGACATGGGAATATATCCCTCAGTGCTCCCAGCATCTTGTGAACCAACGTTCATTGGTGTAGCTTGGGAATTAGCAACATTGTTGCCATTTCCTCCACTGTTGTCCGCAACAACGTTATTGTTGTCGTTTCTTCCATTGTTGTCCGCAACAACATTATCCTCCCCATCAATTGGCAGTACAGGATGCTCCATTTTTCTTCAAGGAAATTCGGAGAAGACCACCAACAGGAAAACAAATGAATAAGGTTTTAAGACTGTTGGAACCGTTGGTAGGAAAACAAATAATAATCAAATAAAATTGACTATTATTTTCTGGAAAGAAGTGAAGAAAAGATGAAGAAATTTGGCTAGTGTTTGGTGTTAGGTTTTTGCAAGAGTCGAGTGAGCACTCTTTCCTTAAAACCTTATTTGCCACCTCCCAAAGATGCTAGGAGCGTTGTGGCCTAGGCTTCCCAGGATAAAACTTGCTATGATCCAATGTTTGAGCATTCAAACAAAGAATCCGGCGAGCAAGATAATGGCTATGAACACAGTATAGCTAAAGAAAGAGTAGAAGCAGAGAGGTTTTGAGGCTAAAAATGATGAACTTTCGTGTTCTATTTTCTGTGTGTAAAATCTCTACTGCCCAACTCTTCCTTTTATAGGGGTGGAGGACTTAAATAGCTTTTAATTAGGCACCCCCACTACACCTGGTAACAGCAACCAACTACATCCTCCCAGTGCCATTTTCCGGACGACATTCGTGCCCGCAGGTGCCGGCGCACACGAGCTCGTGCTTGAATCAAGCCTCTCGATCTCGTACATCCTCCCAATGCCATTTTCCGGACGCCGGCGCACACGAGCTCGTGCTTGAATCAAGCCTCTCGATCTCGTACATCCTCCCAGTGCCATTTTCCGGACGACATTCGTGCCCGCAGGTGCCGGCGCACACGAGCTCGTGCTTGAATCAAGCCTCTCGATCTCGTACATCCTCCCAATGCCATTTTCCGGACGCCGGCGCACACGAGCTCGTGCTTGAATCAAGCCTCTCGATCTCGTACATCCTCCCAGTGCCATTTTCCGGACGACATTCGTGCCCGCAGGTGCCGGCGCACACGAGCTCGTGCTTGAATCAAGCCTCTCGATCTCGTACATCCTCCCAATGCCATTTTCCGGACGCCGGCGCACACGAGCTCGTGCTTGAATCAAGCCTCTCGATCTCGTACATCCTCCCAGTGCCATTTTTCGGCCGGCGCACACGAGCTCGTGCTTGAATCAAGCCTCTCGATCTCGTACATCCTCCCAATGCCATTTTCCGGACGCCGGCGCACACGAGCTCGTGCTTGAATCAAGCCTCTCGATCTCGTACATCCTCCCAGTGCCATTTTCCGGACGACATTCGTGCCCGCAGGTGCCGGCGCACACGAGCTCGTGCTTGAATCAAGCCTCTCGATCTCGTTTCTAGTTGGAATTTGATTTGCACCCACCCCCCCCCCCCCCCCTCTCCCCGCACGAGAGAGCCTCTATGCTATACAATTCTACAAGCTTCAAAAGAGCTCTTGTATATAAGGGGGGAAAATCTTTATTCCAAAGCAATGTGGGACAAAAGCCACTTTTTCCCTTCATTTTCCAACTCAAATGGGTCTACTTTGAGAATCAATATCTCATTCAACCATTATCCGTTTTGAGCGTACAGTATATCGATCTCTTCGTCTCACTACGAAGAATCCGAATCCACTTTGACCCGATCCAAATCAGAAGTGGACCCCACTAATAATTGTACCACAAAATAGCCACTTAACATGCCATTTTATATCATTTTAAGCTATTTTTTCCAACAAAGTATAAGGGTGAGGACTTTGAAGGTTGAAAAGAGATGAGGATGGTGAGTGACATTGATTGTTCGGAGTGCCCGGGTCTGTGTGGGTTCTTAGTTGTTGAAGCTTATCCAAAGGGGTACTCTTCCAAGATCCCCTCTGATTTGGTCCTTTTTTCTGGGGATTGGCTTCATAGAGGTAATATCCTGTGTTGCTCTTATACCTATATCTATATTTATTATCTTAGATATACACCCATAAAATATTTAGAGATCTAGATATATTTATTTTTATTGGACTTCTATAGAAAGGGACCATGGACCCATACTCACACAAGTGTGGGAGTAGCCTACTGGACCCAATCTTTCACAGCAAAGGGGATCGGAAATTCATTTGCTTAATTTGTTCAGTTCTAAGAGCCCTTTTCCGGCTTAGCTCCCCCATCTCCTTTTAGCCTTCTTTTTGGTCTTCCCCGCGATTCCTCTCCAGGTAAAGTTTTCTTTTGCTTGCATTTTTTGTTTTGTTTTTGTTTTTAGCTCAGGGGAAAGACATTTATGTGCATATTTCTAGGGCTTATCAAGCTATACTGAAATTTTTTAAGGTGGTGTTGTTTGTGGTGAGGGTGGAAATTAAAAAGAAAAGTATAAATGAATTCATTATTTGTGAGGTTTTCATTCTGATTGTGTAGCAGAAATTAGCTATTAAATTATAGCATCAACTTGTGTTATATGTGTGAATCAGTTTATGTGATTCTTTGTGATTGGTCAAGCAGGCACTTTGAGGAATAAGGAGATTGAATTAACTAGAAAAGCTCTTGCATTTAGGTGTTTGGTATATTCTCTTTGACAATGTTTAGATCAGCCATGGCCATTTATCCTCGCAACTTCTGTCGGCGAAGAGCATGAATCTGTTAGGCAGGAGTAAAGAAGACGACCTTGAGTATTATTATGATATGATTGAGATCCTTTTGAGTGAATTTTAGCTGTTTCTATATGCCGACTAATTAATGCTATAGTATATTTATTTGAGTTATTTTTATATGTTAGTTTCAATTTCGGTATATTATATTTAATGGATGTTTGGATATTCGATGAAGTATTGCCGACATATATGCCTAGCTGTGAACTTAATTTTTGAACCTCTGACTGCTCATTTGGAGAGTCACGCCATTTGACAAGGTCTTTGGTTCAGTGAATTTAATTTGTGTTAATTAATCAACTAATAAATAAAATATCAGCCTAGACGTCAATCTGAACAAAAAAAAAAATTTAAAGTATGGTTGTTGGTAAAGAGGTTTGATTAATCACAAATGTATAAATCATATCATTATATTTATTAGCAATGAAATTGCAAGTGTTAGAAAAGCTAATGTTAAGTTGGTTAGGACTTCCATCAACCACAAGCAAGCAATGAGTGAAAATTTTGATTTGGACTTTTAATATTCAAACAGACTAAGACGATTGAATAAAAAAAAGTCATTAGAAATTGCTTCTTTTACAGTATGTCATTTGGAAACTTGGGGTAGTAGAATCACTTTGTTTCATTACTTTGACTTGTATAATGTCGCATAGCTATAATATGAACCTAATATGGCTTATTTGAATTTCTTTGAAGTGGTGGCAGGCTGGGTGTGTTAGAGAACAACGAAATTATAAAATCTAAAATTATAACTTGTATCATGTTGCTTCTAAATAATAATGTAGTTATGTATATTTTATTTTTTCATATGACAATTATTAAATTTATATTTATATATTTATCATTTAAAAATTAGAACACATTAATTGATCGTTGGACATGGCGTTTCGTGCAAAGCGCGTGCCGACGACTAGTATATATATAGGGAAGGGTTCAGGTGCGGGTGATGCTTCCCGTGCGGTTATGCGGTTAAACGCACCTTAAGTATACAAATCACCATGCACCTTAAGCACACAAACAAAGCACCTTAAGAACACAAATCACTCACATTAAGTACATAAACCACGCACCTTGAGCACAGAACAAAACACATTAAGCATAAAACCCACACACTTAAGATTTTAAAATGACTCACATTAAACACAAATTCACGCACATTAAGCATAAAACTCACGCACATTAAGCACAAACCTCACGCACATCAAGCATTAAACTGGCGCACTTTAAGTATTAACTCACACATTTTAAGTTTCAACAACTACTGACATTAATCACTAACCCCACCCACATTTGTTGAGCTATTACTGTGCAATCCAACTATTAGCTTAAGTTTTTAGTTGAGATGGAGCACATGCTTCAACTTGGTATCAGAGCCACGCCACCCATAAGACCACCCATAAAAGACTACGGTCCACGTGTTGCTTGGTAATCTAAATGTTGATTTAACCAAAATCAATGGTTCTCCTTTCACCGCACTTGGCATCCTCAGGAACCCCTTTCTATAAATATTATTGAGGACATTATAGTAAGGTAATATTATATTCCACAATCCAAACCAAACACATAAGGTAGAGGACATTATAGTAAGGTAATATTATATTCCACAATCCAAACCAAACACATAAGGTAGAGGACATTATAGTAAGGTAATATTATATTCCACAATCCAAACCAAACACATAAGGTAATCTTACATTCCTAAAATCCCACATTACCTTCCTGCAGGTAATCCTATTACCTGGGGTAATCTAAGATTCCATGAACCAAACACCCCCTTAAAAATATGTGTAATTAGAATATTTTACTAATTTTTCTTGGTAGAATCTAAAAAATAAGATGTGTGTAACTAAACCTTTAAATATGTGTAATTAGACATTTTATTAATTTTTCTTGGTAGAATCTAAATCATATAATTTACATGGTATGTACTATGAATTGTCATTTCTTCTATCATACTAGTTGGAATGAAAGATTGAAATGTTTTCAATTTAAATTGCATTAAAATAAATAATAAAAATGTCTCAATTGCACATATCTTACTTGTTTAATGGTTCAATTACACACTTTTTAAGTCCAGTGACCCAATTGCATAAAAGCGATAAGTTTAATGACATATTTGACATTTATTCCTATTTTTTATTTTGGTAATTTGCAATAGTTTAAAATTGAAAAGTGCTTTTTTTTTTTCTTAAATATTACTCCGTATTATACAATCCCCTTTTGTATGTCTCCATTAGGCATGTGCAACGGTCGGGTCGAGTCGGGTCGGGTCGGATGCCTCCAACCCAATCGAATTTCAATTTGTATTTTAAAATCCAATTTCATTTTATAATTTAAAATATTACTTCGCTTTTATTATATTTCGGATGCGGTCCGATATTCGAAATCAATTCGGTTCAGTCAAATTAAAAAAAAAATAATAATAATTGAACAAAACACTTAAAAATTAAAAAAGTTTAAAAAATTACAAACTACTAAAAAATTACAAATTAATTGAACAAACTATAGTCTATTATTGCATTACAAAATACAAATAAGTGAATTAAATTACTATGTACATGCAAAAAACTACTTTTCCACAATTCCACTAAGTTACATACAATTATACAAAACATATTAAGTTATCAATTATCACTTGTGAATTGTTCAAGACTTCAAGACTACAACTCTTCAAGAGTTCAAGTTACTAAGTACATACAATTTACAAAACTAAATACATACTAGCTTAATCCCTTATTTTTTAGATCATTGGTGAAAGCTTTCATCATCGCCATAAATACATAATAATAGATTAAAATGTGTCAAATACAGTCATAGAAACATTACCAGCAGTCTAGCACACAAGGATAAACTTTGCCATCTTAGGAACTAACCAACTTACCAACAAAAGCAACAACTAACAAGTTACCAAGCCTCAATAGAACAACTAGGCAGCAACTAATTAAATTAGTTATCAAGCCTCATCAATAATAGTATAAATGTATAATACATTATACATAATACATAATACATTAATACAAGAATATAAAGTATCAAATATAAAGCAAAACAATACATGAATCGTAGGAAGTGTAGAACCACTAATCCTCCCAGTTCCACTGCCACCATCAGCACCAAATTCTGCAAAATAAAAAAGAGTACAATGTAAAAATTAGAGCAAATACCAATTTTAGTCCCACGAGTATTAGCAAAATGACAGTTTTGGTCCACATGTTTAATTCCTACCAATTTTCATCCACGACTATTGTTTAGTACCAATTTTCATCCATAACTATTATTTTAGTGCCAAAATTAATCACGCCGGTCACCCCTTCGTTTAAGACATGTCGGAATATGAAATTATTAAGGGTAGTTTCGTGCTTTTCAACTTAATATTCCAATTTGAGCATAAATAAATGAATTTAAGCCCAAAGATTTATCCCAATTCGCAGTTCTCCTCCTCATCCTACCTTGATTTGAGGAGGAAAATTGCGAATTGGGATAGATCTTATGGCTTAAATCCCTTTTATTCATGCTCAAATATGGATCCTAATTTGAAAAGTACGAAACTACCCTTAATAATTTCATATTCCAGCATGTCTTAAACGAAGGGGTGACCGGCGTGATAAATTTTGGCACTAAAATAATAGTTGTGGATGAAAATTGGTACTAAAACAATAGTCGTGGATGAAAATTGGTAGGAATTAAACATGTGGACCAAAACTGTCATTTTGCTAATACTCGTGGGACCAAAATTGGTATTTCAAGGACAACTGGACAAGTTAAAAGTAAATAAAAATTGGGAAAATTTCAATTTTGGTCACATGACTATAGGGGCATTGTTAATTTTAGCACCTGACTTTTAAAAGTGTCAATTTAGTACCTTGACTATGTAATTTTTGTCAATTTTGGTCACTCCGCCCGAATTGACGGTCAAATTTGACCGGAAAAATTTAATCAAACATTTAGTCTATAATCTGAGGGGCAAAATCGTCTTTTGATCCTTTCTAGACTAAATGTTGGATTAAATTTTTCCGACCAAATTTGGCCGTCAATTTTGCCGGAGTGACCAAAATTGACAAAAATTACATAGTCAATGGACTAAATTGACATTTTTAAAAGTCAGGTGTTGAAATTAACAATGCCCCTATAGTCATGTGACCAAAATTGAAATTTTCTCATAAAAATTGCATGAATGTTAGGAAGTGTTACCTTATTCAAATCTCTCCAATTCCTCCACATTTTACTCAATTGATAAAGAGGTATTTGGCAGCCTAAGCCAATCTTGAATACAAACCAAAGCTTCCACAATTTGTAGGAGTTAATGAACTCCTAAAAGGATCTAAAACCCTCACAGATGTGAAAGGCATATTCTGAGGCGCAGTGGATATTGGTATAGCTAAACCATCCCTAGCTATCTTAAAAAGGATAGGAAATCTTTTAGCATTCAGCTTCCAGCACCTAAGTATATCAAAAGAAGTTTCATCTTTAACTATTGCCTCAATCAAGTAAATTTTTAACTCAATTTTTTTTCTTTCCCCCATTTTTCATTCTTTGTTTCTTAATTTGGGACTTTAACAAGTGTTATGGCCTCCCAACTGTAGATTGTGAAGAATCAGTAGAAGGACTGGTAAAAGCAGTAGGGGCAACAGTAGGTCTACTAGAGGGAGTAGAGGCTGCATAATCATCTAACAACTCTGTCAAAGCATCAAATACTTTCCCATAGTAGCTTTTACCTTTTTTCCTCACTATACATGTGCTTGATCTGAGTTGGCATGTACTCTAATTTGTCCCTAGGGTTTAGAATGTTTGCAAAGAATATCATCAAAGTTCATCTTATCTATATCCCCCAATATTTTTCAATTTTGGCACTCATATTATCCCCCTTAAGTTTCACAGACCCACCAGCTTCCACCATGCCATTCAAGAGGAAATATAAATAAGATATTTCATAAACAAAAAAAAAAAAAAAAAAAAAAAAAAAAAAGTGGTAGATGTGACATAAGAACCTAAAATTCTGATTGTCATATCATAAAAACATTTCAAGACCTCCACCAAACTATTCACAGACTCCCAATCAAGAAAATCAGGAACATAACCACCCAAATCTGATTTGAAAGAACTATCACTTTCCTCAAACAACACACAGTGAAATACACAAATAACACACATAATATTTCATTTTTCACCAACGATGGCATCACACAGTAACACAAATAACACAAATATCAGTATATCACAATTCACATTATCACACCTTCACAAATTAAAAATAAAAAAATTAGGGATTGTGATTTACTTGGTTTTTAAAAATATTACCCAAAGAACTAGGGTCTTCTACGAACTGCGAAATGCAAACATTCGAACACCAGAACAGGCGGCAGTCGAACACTCGCTGGCTATGGCTTCCACCACTCCACATGGCACAGACCACAAATTCAACCGGCGCCGCCCCACCGAGGAAAACAGAGAACTCAGGAAATATAGAACAGGACAACGGATTGGTCAATTTGTCGAGACTCAAGAGAACTTTGGTCTCATTGTCTCAGACTCTTAGAGTATGAGACTTGAGAGTCGAGACATGTGACTCAGGTCTCAGAGATTATCAGAAAGAAACCAGAAAAGAAGACTAGAATCGAGAGACGAGAGGTCTCTAAGAATGGAGAAACCAGAAAGGGCAGAAATCCTAAGTCAGAGTCTCGGAGAAGAAGAGAGGGGACTAGAGTGGAATCAGAAGACGAATCTTAAGTCGCGACTGTGCAAATGAGTGAAATCAAGGTTTCAACCCTAGCGTGAATATATATATATATATATTCAAATTTCTAATACCCCATCCGAAATACTAAAATCGGCGTAGCTGATTCAAACAGTCGGGTTTTCTCACTTCGGTTTGGTCCGGATTGGGTTGCACTGTTTTGGGCAACGGGTCGATAAGGTAAAACGGGTTGGCCGGTGTTTGCTCACCCCTAGTCTTTATTACTGAATTTAAACATATAACTACTCATTTAGAATAGTAACGAAGATGTCATCACATTATATGATAATTTGCAATAGTTTAAAATTAAAAACCAAGAATTCAGTACATTGGCCCGACCCGGTGAAAGCACTATGTATTATCCCCGAATTGAACTCCAATCCACCATAGTAATTCCTCCAATTTCTTAAAAAAAGAAAACAAAATAAATCAAGGAAAATGCTGGGTGGCTTGTTCGGCGATCTCCCGCCGCCGTCTTCCTCTACCGACCAAGATGACAAATCCGCCGGCGGCGGAAATGTTTGGTCAAGCAGCACCGCCAAGATGGCTCCATCCGCCCTCCGCAAACCCTTCGCCCCTCCCCAGACTGTTCTCCGGCCTCAAACCCTACTCAAGCCCAAGCCTCCCAAACCTAGCCCCAACCCGACCAACGAGAATGCCAATCCAAATCCTACTGCGCACCAGGCGGCGTCGTTCCAGCCAGCGTTGGTCGCCATTACCAGCACCGTCGTAGATGAGTACGATCCAGCCCGGCCGAACGACTACGAGGAGTACCGGAGGGAGAAGAAGAGGAAGCAGGTGGAGGCGGACTTGAGGGAAAGGGAGAAGAGGGAGAGGGAGAGGGAGAAGGAGAAGGAGAAGGAGAGAGAGCGGGAGCGAGAGAGGGAGAGGGAGAGGGAGTTGAACCTCTCCGGCGAGGAGGCGTGGCGGAGAAGAGCTGCTATGAGCGGCGGAGGTGGCGCTGCTCAGGCTCCGAGATCACCGTCGCCTCCCCCTGGTAACGGAGAGTTTAATATCGGGGGGAGATCGGAGACTGCCGGCTTGGGAATGGGAATGGGGGCTGAGGGAAAGATGACCATGACTGCTGCACAGAGGATGATGGCGAAGATGGGGTGGAAGGAAGGACAGGGATTAGGGAAGCAAGAGCAGGGGATTACTACTCCTTTGATGGCCAAGAAGACCGATAAGAGAGGTGGAGTTATTGTAGCTGGTGATGAGGTTAAACAGCCGGAGAAGAAGGTTAAGAGCGTTAATTTCAATATGGCTCCAACAAGGGTTATACTGCTCAGGAACATGGTACATTCCAATAACATTCTTTTAGAATTCAGTTTTTTTTTTTTTTTTTTTTTAAATGGATTGAATTTTCAATTTGCATTATTGGCTTATTGTTAGTATGATTGTTTTTCTAGTTGTTTCTGCTTTATTCTTTATGATCTTCTGCTGTGAAATCTTGTTGATGGCTTGTTTGAAGTTCTCCCCTTTTTAATGGTTTTTTAGGTAAAGTGTGGAAATGTGGAATTTGTAATGAGAAGAAAAAGGGTAGCAGAACTTAAGCAAATGCTTAAAGGAAAAAAATAAATTCAGTGAGGCAAATAACTCATGTATATAGCTTTACAAATTAATAATTCTATTTGGACTTCTTTTCTGTGTTTATTCTTCTGCTATTCAAACAGTTGTGACTGAAAATTTCAATTGATGTGGAATGAAATTGAGCATCCATATGGTTTATAGTTCTGAGATGCATTTAGCTACATCATGTGCCCAATCATCAACATAAAACATTAATTTTATAGAATACAATAGCAAACCTCTGAGGATATAACTTGAAGTGCAGTTTCAACTTTGACGTAATTATTGTAGGAAGGGAATTGAACAACTTTGGCTTAATTGAATATAATAATCATTGGCATAGTTTGAGTACTAACATTATACTATACATGGGAATTATTTATGCACATAGAAGTTTGCCTTATGAAATAGCCAAAGCTAAAAGTTAGCTCTAAGACTTTGTTAGTTTTAAGCCTTCAGATTCTTTGGTTTCCTTCTCTTCATAAGAATGTTCTTCGCAGGTGAAATTTCTTGTTATATTGCTTTCTTTTTGGGGTGCTTAAAAAGTTTAGAAATCTTTCAATATAGACAAGCTATGTCGTACATTTATCTTGGTTTTTCATTATGCTTCTTGCCTTCTTAAACATTACCTAGTCCTTCTGGCACTTCCCCAGGGTCAACTTAACCTAATGTAGATTAAGCTTTTAAAACATATTTATAAAATTGAGAGAGGTAGTACCTTTTGTCTTTTCTTTTATACTTATAATTTTTTCTACATCTGAGGGAAATGAACATTGAGCCTAAGAAGTAAGACCTTTTTACAGAAAGTTAAATGCCCATGCCACCACAAGGCCCTTGGAAAGTGCAATTTTCATCTATTTTTGTAATATCTAATTTTTGTTGGATTTATAGGTATCCCGTATCCAAACTTTATTCAGAGTTTAGTCAAATTAATCCCAATAAATACAGCTTAAGGCACATAAAACAGTACTGAGGGATTATATTTTTCATTAGAAGTTCAGCTCCATGCAAGACAGTTTTTTTTTTTTTCTTTTTTTTTTGGAGTACTATTGACTCTATTACAATGTAGTATATGTTCTATACTTTCTCTATCTGTCGCAGCCCAAAGAGTCAATACCGGGGTTCCATCCTGTGACCTTCCCTCAAGAAGAGCTATAGAGGTGTCATCTGAGCACAAGGTGCTTGGCATGCAAGACAGATTTTAAACGTAAACTTATTAACTTTTGAAATTGACTCTTTTAAAGTGGAGAATTTTAGCTCAAGACAATCTGACCATTTGACTGACTAAAAATTTACTCCTATAGTTGTGGTATATGAGTGTAAAATTTATTGAAGAATTAACTTAGAAACTGCAGAGCAGTTGAATTTTTTTCCTATTGCCATCCAATCACCAGAATGAAAATTGTCACAGCAGGCTTACTATATATTTTATGTTACCCACTGATACAAATTTTAAATTGTATATCAAACTTTGTGTTTATGCCAATCAAATGTAATGAATTGGTAGCCTCTAAACAAAAACATGGGTGAGGGCGTACATAAATACCTGATATTTAAGGGTGTAATTTGAGATTAAAATAGGTGTTGGTAAGTTCATAGCTCTATCTCGGGATACTTCTATGATTGGCAATATATTGGCACTACCATCTTCAAGCCTGCCCCTTTACCTAGAGCTCATTTGTTGGTCTAATAGCATTGAGATCCAAGTTCATTAAATGGGCCCGAAACCATTTCTTGTCGTCTCCTGGTGGAATTAATGTCTGGATGTTGCTGTAAATTTTACTTTCTTAAAACTGATCCTGTTGATTCTAATGCTGCTGCGGTCCTCTTTTGCATTTCTGTTCTTCTGGCAAAATGTGAGTGCGACAAACAGTATTTTGACAAATAAAAAGATAAGTAAAAATCATGATTGCAGGGATTTGTCATTTGTTGCAATATAGCCACTTAAAATTTTAAAATTGCTTCTCACACTATGTGTGCTCTTCATTATTTTGGGTATGCATGTATTTTGTTGTAATGCTTGTATTGTTTGAGAAGTTAAGCATTAATCTTTGATGTGGATGACTTGGTTCTTTAGACAGAAGTGAATCCATGTTCAATGACTGATTTGCAAGCCGTATATGGTGGCATGGCTTAGTTTAAGGGAAGCTTGTATGAACACTCCATCCTGAGAGTTATTATGTTCCTTAGTTATTAAAATATCAAGTTATTTTGCTTTCTTCCTTTCTGCTTATTTTCCTTGTTGATATGAACCCCAAAGAGAAAAGGGTTTCTTGCTAAAAGAGCATAAATGAGACATGAGAATAATCTTAGTCACAATAGAAAAATAGTTCTTTGTCAACGTAGTAATCATAAGGAAACAAAACAAAAACAAAAAAAAAAAAAACACCGACAGTAAAGATTTTGAATCTGAACTAGAGGTTATGTGAAAGTAATGGCATGGAAAATAACCCTAGTATGGCTGAAATTCCATGTTTTATAAGTACTTGAAAATTGCTAGTATGTTTTTGTTTTTCATTTTCGTGATGTGGTTGTTTTATTTTGCTTCTTGAATTAAAGGGTTTGCATTTCTTTTGAGTGTACATTTGCACACCTTATATTTCTTTGCTTTCAACTTCAGATTCTAGGCCCTTTATCCACATATACATAATGTGAATCATGAAGTCATGGTTTTTATGAATATGAGGCTATTAAATTTGTAATCATCCTCCTAAGCTTATTATATATTTTTGAATTTTGAACCTGGTTGCAGGTTGGCCCTGGCGAAGTGGATGATGATCTAGAAGGTGAAGTAGCAGAAGAGTGTACGAAATTTGGCACAGTGACACGCGTGCTTATATTTGAGATAACAGAACCCAATTTCCCTCACGACGAAGCAGTCAGAATATTCATTCAATTTGAGAGATCCGAGCACGCAACCAAAGCTCTGATTGAACTCGAAGGACGGTTCTTTGGGGGAAGGGTTGTTCGCGCAGGCTTCTATGATGAGGAAAGGTTTAGCAATAATGAGTTGGCTCCTTTGCCCGGTGAAATTCCTGGCTTTTGACAATCTATTCTATTCAAACTTTATGTGTGTTACACTGTTACTGTAGGCTCTGTAGCTAAGCTAAACCGTGCTTCCAAGTTACTAACAATTTCTTTCTTTAACATTACCTACGCATATCATATGTTGGTTTTTTTTTTTTTTTTTTTTTTTTTAAAAAAAAAAAATTCTGATAAACAATCATATGATGAGGAGCAGGAAGAAGGTGCCATTTTACGAAACACATATATGAAAGTGGAGAATTGGAATTAGTGGTGAGACAAGTATTGTCTTAGTCAACAAAAATAAAATTATATTAACTTCATAACTACTTTAAACATCTCATAAGTCACAACCTCAAAGAAGCAGAGTTCTGTTCTAAGGGAAAACGGATAGAAAGAAACCAAACCAACCTAACCTAAACCAATAAATGGACATCTCCAATCACATGAAGTAAACCACATCAGTGCCGGTGCTTGCGTCCTTATGTATCATCAACAGGTCTTTTTCCTGCATTATCTGCACATTATACAATTTTAACGCCATTACTTGCCCATCCTTGCATTCTTGTTCGAACAAGCGATATATATATCTGGTGTGTTTGTGTTTGTACATGCATCAGTAAAGTAATTAATATATATGTACCTTTAAAATAGACATAATTTCTGTGCTTGAATAGGGTAAGGCTGCCCCATTGTTTACAACACCCCCGATGTCAGCAATTGGCATTTGCTCCAAGTGGTGTGCATGCCTGTGCCTACCCAGCACCGAGCTAAATGCCTCCACTCTATAATAATATAAGGAAAACATTTATAGTTTCCATAGATGACTAAAAACCCAAATAGTAGCTCTAAGGATCCAGTGATCTTAAAGAATAGATTGCAAACCTCTCTGGGGATATGCTGATCTCAGCTGTCGGGGGGTCATCTACTTCCATGGTTTCATGTTCACTGAGAAAGGATCAAATGTTAGGAGGATATATAACACCATCCAATATCTTGCCTGGGATTCTTAGATGAACACATTCAGGGTTTCAAGTGGTACTTCAAAGGCTGCTGCTATACAATATGAACATTTTATATGAAGCATGCATTCAGAAATGTAATACTCACTGTGTTCTTGTAGTAGTGCCACCCTCATTAGTCTTGCTCTTTTTACTGCCATTATTGCGAGTTCCATCAGTGTCAGCAGCAGCAGCATCATTTCTTTCATTATCACCAGCATCATCCTCAGCTCTGCGTTTCCTCTCCAGCTCCCTTTCTCTTTCACGCTCCTCCATTTCTGTCAGCTCTTGATGATATATTGCAAAGTTTAGAACTTGAAGAGCAGCTTCTACATCAGACTTCAGAACCTGAAAAGGGCAGATGGAAGCATTCCATACATCACAAAATCCATATAACAAGAATAAGCAAGAAGCGGTACAATGTCTAGTGTCCTTAATTTCTTCTTTTCACCCTAGAACAGCTACAAGCATTACCAACGCAGTAATCATAGTTTTGTAAACAAAGCTAATTTCTGATTTTGTACCTTAATGTTAAATCATGAATTTGGCATAAGATAAATACCTGTCTTCTCAACTTCAGCTTGGCATGGGCTGTTGATAGCCGAATAATTGTTTCTAAGGTTCTGGCAGTAATTGGAAGTGTTCCTCCCCCAGTCTACCAAAGAATACCGTCCCATCATTTCTCGTTGCATAAAACCATTGTATTTAAGTTTATCAGCTATTAATTAAAAGCAATATGTACTAACCTTTGCATTTGCACTGGCATTTCTGAGTTCTGCATATGCAGTTGCAATTTGATCAGATGCCTGCAGAAGTCTATTTGTCAGCAATGAATCAACATCATTCACAAAGGATCATCTAAAAGATATAAACCTTAGGAATGCCAAGATGATGCAATGCAAAAGGGAAAGTGTAATAAATAGTCAAATCCCAGGGTCAGAGTTCCTGTCAATAATTCACAGAGAAATACCAAATGAAAGGAACTGTGGGGCCTCTACTGAAATTCATTTTAAAAGCAGAATACCTCATCAGTCAGCTCAGGCTGAATCCTGTTCTTTGCATAATGAATATATGTCTTAAGAAACTTGATAGTGAGAGCGTCTTTCTTGCGACCTCTACTTGTATTCCTTCCATGTAGCATGCGGTTATATTTGACAAAGAGAGGCAAATTATTCTCATCTTCATTTTCCTCTTCATATCTTGAACCATCATCTAATGTTGCACCACCTAACAGGTTAAGTTGTTTCAGATCAAGAAGTTGAAGCAAAATGGTAAAAACATCTATATATTCCATTCAAAGAAGTTTGCTACCTCCATCTGTTGCTGAACGATACCGATGCATGCGTAAAACATGCTCAGAGATTTGACGGTCAATTCCTGGATCCATTTGATCCAGAACAATAAATAGCAAATCAAAACGTGAAAGTAAAGAGTCTGGAAGTCCGATGTTCTTTGTTGGAGTGATTGAGCGATCATACTGTTATCAGCCAGAATGCAAGAGATTAGCAAGTATAAGACATGTTTTTAAGCATTTCAAAAATTTGACATGCATATCTTAATAAACATACGGATCCATATATGGGATTTGCAGCTGCCACTACACTGCACCGAGCGTTCAAGGATGCATGGATTCCTGCTTTGGCAATTGTTACAGTCTGCTGTTCCATAACTTCATGTATAGCCACGCGATCTTGATCATTCATCTTATCAAACTCATCAATACAAACAACACCTCTATCAGCAAGAACCATGGCACCAGCTTCTAGTCTTCTTTCTCCTGTTTCAGAAACACTAAATTTTTATAATTTGTAATTTTACACATTAGAAATGGTTTTTATTCAAAGTAAGACACAAGTGGAACTTATTAAAAGTAAATCCATAAAAACTGAGCTAATATGGATCAAACATGTTTGATGTAACCCTGCCAATGGCACAACGATACAGTGTACAACATAGTAGAAAAAGAAGATGAGGAAAAGACACAAGGAACTTGCATTACTAAGAGGTTATAGTGTGAAATGGGGAAATAGAATCCATTTAGCTAACCGTAACTAGATTCAGACTAAGGGAGCTGAGTTCAGCATACACCTTGGTTGTGCAATAAAAGATGGATTACCTGTTTCTTGATCAGATGTAACAGCAGCTGTCAAACCAACTCCAGAGGAACCCCGACCAGTAGTTGATATTGCCAGAGGGGCAATATTCATAATTGCTCTTAGCAGCTGAGACTTGGCAACAGAAGGATCACCAACCATCATCATGTTTATGTCACTGCAAACATCATAATAGTGTAGATCAGGAAAATAATCAATGCCAATGGCTGTCTTATACATTTATTAATACTTTTGGTGGGAGCAGTACAGAACAAAAGATTGGGATAATGCAAACACTGTAAAGCAGCAGCTTTTATCTCACCCTCGTAAATGGGTTCCATTTTTCAAGTTTTTTTCAACTCCACCAAGCATTAATAGAATCACTGCTTTCTTTATCCACAAATGCCCGTAAATAGATGGAGCAAGTGAATTTGCAAGGAGGTCAAATGTATCATCTCTTGCAGAAATCATATTTATGTTCTTTATGATTTGCGCAGAGTAGTTTGGCACATTGGCTGATTTGTTGAGAAGAGAGACATTGTTAGCTATGAGGACAGTCCTACAGAAAGAGAAAGAGTAAGTTTCAGAGACACAATCAGCAATGACAATTTAAAGGCAAAAGGATACATATGCAAAATAAAGATTATTTTTCACATAAAACCTGAATACTCCATTCATGCTTCCTTTGCTTTTTCCAGGAAGTGCCTTGTATATCCCAACAACTGCAACACGATCTCCAGGCTTGCATGAATCCACAAGGTCATCCTCAACTATGACATCCACAGTTCGAGGAAGTTGACCAGGAGCTGAATTTTCAGGCACCTCTTGAATTGACACAGTCTGGTGATCTTTGTACGTACATAGCCCATACTCCGTAACTAGCAAATTGCCACTATCATCCTGAAATATATCCATTTCAAAATACTCTTTCTCTTAAAAATTACATAATGAAATTTTGAGCAGATTCTTGGAGGGTTACCCGTGTTGGATAGACAGAGCCTGTCGGCAATCCCACATTGGATGTAATATCTCTGTAATCCCGGGTTGTGAATTTGCTAGTCTCAGGACAGAAGTGGACACTCTTTACAACCTTTGGCCTCACCAGAGAACCTAAGATAGAATAAAACAGCAGATTATACCAATAAATATAAGCAGATTATTAAATTGATACCTAATTGATTAACTGCAATGACATGTACAGAATATTTCTTTTTACTTGTGATGCACAACTAGAACTGTTGAAGCACGAAAAGGAATGTACTCTTCATTCTAATGTTTGTATGTATACCCATATACATACACACATATATGCATGTACATGTATAATATCTTTTGAGTAAGAAGCTCTGTGTGTACATGTATAATATCTTTTGAGTAAGAAGCTCTGTGATTGAGTCATTGAGAAGTTGACCAATAAATTTAGCAGAGGAATGAAGATGCTGGTACTAAATCATCCTTTTTAGAACTGTTCCCTCCCTCATACACTTCTCAGTACAAACTCATCCAATTTGAAATGATTGAATGTTCCATAAATACAATTCAAATTATTTCTCATCAAAGTATAAATTTAGATGTTAGACCTAAAAAATTACAGTCAGTTTGAGCTCATACTGTATCCAGTTTCAATGCTCTGTGCTTATGAATACAATGTCTTTAGCTATCTAGCATAGTGTATAAGTATGAGCCATTCAAAATATGATTCATTTTCTTAGAGCCTAAGAATTATTGATCAACAGAGTGAAATTCTTTGGAAGAACAATTATAGTTAAAAAGGTGCATACATTTGGTAACAATGCCCTCAATGCAGACCATAGAACCAATGAAACTAGACAAAAGCTCCCTTGGGGTCACTCTCCTTGAAACAAAAGGGCCTGTCAATCCAACAAGCACTTGTTCTCCTTCCTTCAAGTACTTGGGACTGTGCACTCGGAACAAATCCGTTAATGCATCACATAATGGTTGCATATACTCACTGGGATTCTGAAGAAGCCTAGAGATTTCAGCAAACATAAAAATTAATTTCAGAAGTAAATCAAGAAATCAAAAGCAAAATAGATAGAACATTAATGTAAGAAATCAACCTGCGAGCCAAGTCAGAGCCTTCTCTGTCATTGTAGAAATCGTTTAGGTTTATAATGAAGCGATGTCGTTTGTTGTTGACCATGGAGTCGAATTGAGATTTGAATTGGGTGTCCAGCTCCTGTATTTCAGGAATTAGCGAACAATATGCATCACGAAAAATCAAATAAACAACAAAAACAAAAAACAAAAAACAAAAAACACAAAAACCAAAAAAACAACAAAACAAAAACAAAAACAAAACAAAACAAAATGTTCCTCTGCTAGTGTAAGGAATGAAGAAATGTGAGTTACAGTTTGTTCAAAGAACTTGAGAAATGTTCGTTTGTGCGCCGCTCTGACTTCATCGCTTAGATCCATCTGTTCCGCTTCGTCTTTGCTCTTTCTGTGCTAGGTGAGCAATATCTACAGGGAAGAAAAAGCCCTTTTAAATAACACAGTAACTGTAAATTAAATTGGTTTGCTATAGACCTAGCAATACATCAAATATCCATTAGAGATAATAGAAGAAATTGGGGAAAATGACACATTTGGGATCAACTGACCTGACGAGAGCCAGAAAAAAACACAACTAGGGTTAGCCAAAGTCGCGTGACGCTTGGCGAAGATCCAAAGTCGACAACGAGAACAGGCGAAGTGCAATGAGCGACCGGCGACGAGTGTGTGTCGTCTGACAAGCTGCAACTCTGAAATCCAAATGTGCGAGTTTTAGCCCTTCTGCCGATTTTTCAACGCAGCGATGTGAAATTGGCGGGAAATAAAGGAGTGCAAGGCCGTTTATGGCGGGAAATGGGGATAAAGCTTTTCCTACTGTGTTAGTGTAATCGTAATATGTTTTTTTTTTTTTTTAATAAATAATCGGAAAATGTTAGAGTAAAATAGTACAAGCTTTTCTAAGGGACGTTTGGTTCAGGTTATCTAGTAATGTTATATTACCTTGTTTAGTTCAAATTATGAGATTACCAGGTAATGTTATATTACTTGAAAGTTGATGTGGCGGTAATGTGATTACTCCTATTTTTTTTTAATGTAATCTTAGATTATTTTGAATTATTCTAACTTTGCCCTTGTTAACTAATCTTTATATTATTATTATTATTATTATTATTATTATTATTATTATTATTATTATTATAATTTTTTTTTGAAAGCCAACCAAATCAGATTATATTAGCCATACTAGGCAACAGAAAGGGAGGAGGATCATCCCTCCAAACAGAACGCGCCAAAGTTGCGCTTACATGCTTAGCTAGAGCATGAGCTGCCCGATTTGCATCCCTGCTAATATGTTTCACCACAGGGTTCGTCATGAAAGTAAGTAAACGATTACAAGATAGCAATACAAAACCAAGATAAGAATGAAAAGAACTAGCTTGTCTTAAATTGGAAACTAAAACCAAACTATCTGAGCATAAAGTGACTGCAGTATAACCATTGTCTTTCACCCATGATAAAGCTTCACACATTGCCAATGCCTCTGCCAAGACAGGATCATACGCACAAGATAACGGGCCATTCGCCGCTGTCATAAAAGATCCATCCGCATCATATATAATGAATCCATACGAGGGTGCATGCTGTGGACCATGAAAACCTGCATCTACAAAACAGATTACACCAGATGATGAATAGGGATCCGGTTCCGGTTGTACTGGCTGTACTGGCGGGTTTCGGACATGATGGTGACAATTTACCTTCCACGCCTCCCACCTTACTGCACTACCACATAAAAGTGTTCTCGGGTATGGCAAAAAACCCTCCCATACTGCTGCATTCCTGGTAGTCCATATGTCATATAATAAACCACAAATCCTCCCTTTGGTGTCTGGAGTGTTTGCCGGTTCAGCAAGCCATCCTTCCACCCATTGATTAAAACTCCTGCCGTTAAAAGATGGAACATGCAATTGAGACAATGACCAAACATGTGATGCAAAAAAACAGGAACATAAAGCATGCATAACATTTTCCCCTTCCAATCCACACGATGGGCATACATTAATAAGATCCACCCTGCGCACAATCAAATTATCCAACGTAGGCAGAATATTCAATAAGGCTCTCCACAGGAAGATTTTCCACTTAGGCGGTACCTGTAACCTCCATAGCAAACCCCAAACCTCCGTGGTTGGGGTATCTTGTTCAACAAACCTTCTAAACCCATCTTTCACTGAATAGCAACCCCTTAAATCCCGTTCCCAAAACCACATGTCCTCAAAGTCCGCATTAATTGGCAGCCGTTTAATCAATTCCACATCACGAGAAGCAAAAAGCTGATTTATTAAACCCTCATTCCACTTGTTAGCGTCATTATCAATCAAATCCGCAACCAGCAAGTCATGATTGACACTCTGGTGGGTCAAACCCACATAGGGGTCATGCGCATCAGGTAGCCAAGGATGTGACCAGGCTTTAGTAGTCCTTCCATCCCCAATCCTCCGCCTGCACCCAGACCTTACCAACTCCTGACTAGCCATTATACTTCTCCAAACATAGCTCGGATTACCACCCAAATCAGCTTCATAAAAAGAAGTAGTAGGATAATACCTAGCCTTAAAAACCAGCGCTAACAAAGAATTAGGATTCGTTAACAGTCGCCACCCTTGCTTAGCCAGCAAAGCCACATTAAATTCATGCAAGCGTTTAAAGCCTAATCCACCATACTTCTTCGGGGCACACATTCTGTCCCAGGCTAACCAATGGATACTCCTTTCAGCTCCTTTCGTACCCCACCAGTACCTGTTCATCAACCTCTCAAGAGCAGCACAAAGAGTTTTAGGAAGTAAATATATGCTCATTGTATATGTGGGCATAGCCTGCGCAACACTTTTCAGCAGTACCTCCTTACCAGCTTTAGATAAAAGCCTTTTGTTCCAAGAACCAAATCTCTGTTTCAACTTCTGCTCAACATAAGCAAAAACAGCCTTTCTATTTCTGCCTACCACTGAAGGTAGACCAAGATACTTACCAAAATCATCCGCCTGGGCAACCCCCAACGTTCCAGCAACAAGATCCCTATCACCAACAGATGTATTACGACTAAACGTAATGCTAGACTTGTGAAAATTGACTGCCTGCCCCGAAAAGGTCTCATACACACTTAAGCACTTCTTAACCTCCAATGTCTCCTGCAAATTAGCTTTAAAGAAAAGCAAACTGTCATCTGCAAAAAACAGGTGAGAGATAGGAGGTGCTCCCCGAGTTACCCTGCAACCATGAATAAGCCCTTTAGACTGAGAATCCTGCAACAACAACGACAGACCCTCAGCACATAAGATGAATAAATAGGGCGATAAGGGATCACCCTGTCTTAACCCCCGAGTTGGGACTATCTCTTCTGTAGGGACGCCATTCACCATGACCCTATATCGCACAGTCTCAACACACAACATCACAAGTCTAACCCATCTTTCATCAAACCCCAACCCCAACATCATCTGCTGTATAAACGGCCACTCCATCCTGTCATAAGCCTTAGCCATATCAAGCTTCAAGGCCGCCCAACCAACCTGCCCTAACTGCTTCCTTCTCAAATAGTGGCCAACCTCAGACGCAATAAGAATATTATCAGAGATTAAACGACCAGGCAAAAAGGCACTCTGCGATACTGAGACAACACCCTCAAGCAGGGGTTTCATTCGATTCGCCAGCATTTTAGCCATTATCTTATACAGCACATTACATAATGCAATCGGCCTCAGATCAGAAACAAACTCAGGGGTACATTTCTTGGGGATCAAAACTATATTCGCATCATTCAAATTAGGAGGAAAAGTAGACTGCGTAAGGCAATTAATAACAAAATCAGTAACATCCTTACCAATTACATCCCAGAACGCCTGGTAGAAGCCCGGATTCATGCCATCCGGACCGGGTGATTTGTCCTTGCCCATAGAAAATAGTGCACATCGTACCTCCTCCGGCTCAAACGGACGCAGGAGATCCTCATTTTGCGCCCTAGTCACTCGTGGTTGCATAGAATCCACTTTGAAATCCCCAGGATTTCCACCAGTGGCAAAGATCTGCTTGTAATAATCGACAACCACCGTGCTCAGTGCACTACCCTCCCTCCAGACACCATTATCATCTTTCAACTTCACAATTACGTTCTTCTTCTTACGGTATGACGCATAAGTATGGAAAAACTTAGTATTTCGGTCCGCTCCCCGCAACCAGTGCTGCTTAGCACGCTGTCTCCAGAAAACCTCCTCCTGTGATAAAAGTTGGTTTAACTGGCCATCAAGCAGCCTAAACCGGGCTAGAGACGCGGGATCAAAACAGCCCCGTAACCCATTTAACTCCTTCCGAATACTGTCAATCCGCTTCCCATACTTGTGATGCCGATCACCACCCCACCTTCTGAGGCCCCGCCCACAAGATTCTAGCCTTGCTTGCAAAGCCACACCAGGTGTTCCAGACCACTCCTTCTCCACCACCTCCCTACACCCATCATCTAATAGCCACGCATTCTCAAACCGGAAACCCCGCTGCCTTGGTCCTTGTGCCACACCATAAATGTCAAGAAAGAGTGCAGTATGATCAGACGCATCAGTACGGATATTAAACAATCTAGCCCTGTCATACACATCCAACCAATCCATATAATAATAATGATGATGATGTTGATGATGAAATTAATATATGTTTATATAATTAAATATAGGGAAAATGACACTTTTTACCCTTGAGTTATATACTTATAGCACTTTTCCCCCCTCAATTATTTAGGTAAGCACATTAGCCCCCTCAATTATTTTAAAAGTGGTGCATTTTCCCCCTAATATATTAAATTGACATTTATACCCTTAAAGTAAACATTTTATTTATTTTATTACTCCAACAAATTATTGCATATACGTAGATGATACTGCTAATTCTACGTAAGCAATATAAAATAACACGAGACCAATTAAAGCAAGTAAAATCTTTATTGATCCCGGTAAAGGCCCTAAGTACAATCTACTTGGCTGCTCTGAGTACCGACTGACTGCGGTCGGGATTCTCTAACAACAACCTATCGATCGTCCAAAAGTCCTTTACACTGTAGCTACTGTGGGTATTTATAGCCGCTATGCCGGGGACAAGATTCCAGCCGTTCGGCATGTCCTCCACGTAGCCACCACGTGTCATCCTCCCGGGTGCCCTGCCTGTCGATGTAAAGAGCCGCCACGTGTCCTTCGTCAGCTCTTTCGTCCAAGGGCTACCACTCGGTGGTCGACACCGTCGCTCGGGCAACTCCGGTCGGTCTACGACCGGGTTCTTCTCGTGGAGCCCGACCTGTTACCTGCAAAGACAAGGAGAAAGAGACAAAGACTCCTCGGTCGTGGTGAAGCTATGTCGGTCGGGATATTCCCTACCAAGAGCCCCCCAGCCCGGGCCTTTTTGATCAGTCGGGAAAAAAAACGGGACGGGATGAAGAAGCCCAACCGTCAGGCATTAGACCGACCGGCCAGCTGTCATTCCCTCCTACGCCACGTGTCGGCCTCTGCCGGCCTCGGCGATCCCATCCGTCGCCTCGGATTCAGCGCGGGTCGTGTCAGGCAAGTTGGCCCATTTCCCGCCTAAATGCCCTCCTATAAATAGGCCCTTGAGGCCCTTATTTGAACTTTCCTCACTCTTTTGCTTCAGTCGGTATCCTCTAAGAATCCCGAGCAGAGCATCTCAGCAAGGCAATCGAACAACAAACTTCAAGCTTTCTCTCGCAAAGTTCCTTCGTCCGGTAAGCTCTCCCTCCTTCTCTTTATTTCACGCTTTCAACTATAGGTAGAACTGCTAGGTCAACTAACTGTCCCGGACGACTCAAGTCCTTTACTAACCCCGACCGACCGTTAGGTAGATCGAAATATGACGGACTCGGACAGCCAAAACGCCTCGATCGCGGATTACGATGAGGAGGTCGAGCGTATCAGCGACGAGGAAGTGGACATTATGTCCTGCACTCCCGAAGCCAGCCCCCAAGCAACGCCAGCCCCCGATCGAGCTGTCGAGCATGACAGCGCATCAAGCTCCTCCGGGACGTCGAGCTCTAGCTCCAGCGGGTCGGGGAGCTCCAGCGAAGAAGAGGAAGAGAGAACCACGTCAGGCGGGCGGGGTTCTCCGACCGAGGGCGTTAGGGAAACGCCTACCGGGTGGTTGGGGACCACCCGGAAGCTGCTCCTCGAGGGGGTGATCGAGAAAATACCCCCGAGCAGACCGAAGAAGACCCGGCCGGGCCGGCCACACCAGCCGTCGAGCTCGAATTCTTGAACAGCGAGAGTGTCGAGCAAGAGATGAGCCTGCTGACCAAAGGCGAAGCGGCTCGGATTGCTGAAATACTCCGGGGTCGGGTAGAATTCGACACGAGCCGGCAGCTGGGAAATGTGATTGACAGGCATCGGGGCAAGTGGATCGGGATGCACTACGACTCCCTGATGGCCCCGATCGCCATTCCCTTCACCCCCCTCCTGAACGCCTTCTTGGCTTATTACCGGGTCGCCCCGGCCCAGATCTGCCCGAACGCACATCGGATCCTCGCCTGCTTCCCGCAGATATGTGCTCGGCACGAGGCCGAGTGCACGATGGAGTTGTTCAACTTCATCTACCAGATCAAGGTTCTCCCGGGCCGCTACGGGGGTGGGTTCCTGATGCTGCAGTCCCGAGCAGATATGTGCTCCATCAAAGGCCTGCCCGGGAACAACAAGGGGTGGAAGAACAGAATTTTCTCCATCAAATACGACCCCTGGATCCTCCCGGTCGACCGCACTTGGAGCAGCCACTTCAGAAAGCAAGTGGTGCCGGTCGAGACGCAAGCGCTGAGGGACACGGTCAGCCGGATTTCGAGCGAGGTGCACGAATACACAATCTTCCGGACGGCTGAAAGTCTCGCAGTCGCCAAGCTCCCGCCCCCCACGTACGAGCTGCCGGAGAAGTATCTGCCCGTGCCGATGGGCGTGACGGTCGCGAAGCCGTCGAAACGAAAGAAGAAAGGTTCATCTCGAGCCGTTCCTCCCGACCTAGCTTCATTTTTTTTGATCAAACTAACTTTGCTCTTCTATTGCAGCCATGGCAGAATTCGGCGATGAAGACACCGCCCTCCCCCCGCCCACGAAGATCTCCCTCGGCGGGAAGAAGAAGGCCAAGACCAAAGCGGCCGGGGAAAAGGAGATTCCCACCGCCCGACCCCTGAGTGCCTCGACCGTGTCGACGGGCGAGGGCTTCATCGTCGAGCAGCCTGATGTCTTGGTTACCCGGGTGGAGGTCGCCCGGGGCAAGGAGAAGGTCGCCGACCAGGGCGCGACCGAGGTGGGCAACCTGAAGCGCCGCCGCGAGCAGCACAGCCCGAGCCCTTCGGTCGGGCGAGAGAGGGAGTCTACGTCCGTGCTGGCACGGATCGGCAACGCCGCGCCGGCCCGGGTGGATCTGGGGAAGATGACCCCGACCCAGGTGGCTGAACGGATCGGCCACGACCTGGCTGAGGTGAGCTTTTCTTAACTAACAGCTTCCTTGCAATCATACTTTGATCGGGCTAACCCTGGATATCCTTCTGTACTGCAGATCTCCCGGGCGACCCAGCTCCTTCAAGGTCAGGCTATGCTGGCCGAGGAAGCTGATCATCATAAGAAGACGGCCGCTCATCGTCTGAAGGAGATCAAGGAGCTCCAGGCCGAGCTGGAGAAGGCGCAAAAGGCCCTGAAGAAGGGCGACGAGGAGCGGGTCCTCGCCGAGAAGGTCGCCAGTCGGGCGATTGGAGAGGCCAAAGAGCTGAAGGCTCAGCTCGAGAATCCGAGCGAGCTGGCGCGGGCAGCCTTCAAAGACAAGGACTCGGGCTCGGCCTTCCTTACAGCAGCCCGGGGAACAGAGATCGGGGAAGAGCTGATCGTCTCGTTCGGTCGCTGGGGCTTTACGGCCGGGAAACGGAAGATGCTCGAACGAGTCCGTTCCCGGTTGGAGCAGGCCCTAGACGGGGAAGACCTTCAACTGGTCCTCTCAGTCTTGCCCCCGGACCTAGCCGATCCCGGTCCCTCTCCCTTCGCCCCAAAAGCCAAGGCGTCTGAAGCCGGGGCATCAACGGCGGCTACCCCGAGCAGAAAGGAACCGGCTGCCGGAGCTCGGGAGATGAAGAAGTAGAATAGGCTCCTTTCTTCTTCTTCTTTTTTGATCGGGAGCCCGGTCCCGAATTGTACCGGGCAACTTTTGTCAATTAATGAAATTTAATTTTTGGTTCTATCTTGCGTCGCTCGTTCTTTCTTTTCGCACTTTTATCTTTAATCGCGTAAGTGTTGACCCTTAATTCTCGACCTCGCGGCCTTGTGGCCCGACCTTGCACACACTGATCTCAATTACTCGACCCCCTGGCCTTTAAACCCGGTCTCGCAATATTCGATCCGCTTAACGCCCGACCTTACGACCTTATGGCCTGGTCGTGCGTTCGATATTTCGACGTCAAATCTGACCAACCGATCGGGTGTACCCGATCTCCGGTCCTTTGTCGAAAAATTTTTGAAAACAAGCCTCTACGGTCGGGATGTAACCGAGCGACGGGCCTGCGAATACTTCCTTATCCCAGCCCCCACACTATTGTGCGCTCGAGGCACGAGTGGGTGCAATAGTGGACAGAAGTTTGGACAGATCGGGGGAAAATGCTGAGAGCTCCTGGCTTCCCCGATCAGCGGCATGACTTGAATGTCCGCCAGTGTGGAGCGCGTTTTGACCGGTCGATAGATTTCGCCCGGTTGATTAATGTTGAACTGATCTGCATGTAACGAAGGTGAAAGAAAGTAACCGATCGGGCCGCCGCATACAAACGGTCGAGCAATCATCGATCGTATATACATTAAACTTTCCCGCTCGCAGGCGGTTGAATTAATTTTACAACCATAAATTTACATAGAAATGACGACCGGGACTAACTCGCAGGTCAAGCCCCCTACTTCGTCTAAGAATACAAAAAATAGGTTAATGCCTAAAAAGAACGAGGTGCTCGGAATTCCAAGTCCCCTCGATTAGCCGACCAGTCGTTGTCTCTAGTCGGTATGTACCCGGCCGTATGACAGCATTGATGATGTACGGCCCTTCCCAGTTCTGAGCTAGCTTTCCGCCCTCTAGAGGTTGGCTGGCCTCCCTTCGTCGTAGAACGTAGTCTCCGACTTGAAAATAACGAGGGTTGACCCGAACATCTTTAGAACTCTTGACGCGCTTTTGATACTCGGCTATGCGTCGAGCGGCTAGCTCTCGTTTTTCCTCGACCCCATCAAGGTCCACGGCCATCGCGTGCTCGTTCTCTTCCGCGTTGTAGGTTCTCTCTCGATCGGTCGGAATCCAGGCCTCGATCGGAAGTCGGGCCTCGGCTCCGTAAACCAGGGCGAAAGGGGTCTCCAAAGTAGCTTCCCTCGGGGTCGTCCGATAAGTCCACAAAACATATGGCAACTCATCGGCCCAACTACGACCGGCCGAGTGTAACTTCTTTTTCAGACCTTCCAATATCGTCCGGTTAGCATTCTCCACTTGTCCATTTCCCTGTGGGTAAGCGACCGACGACCGGACGTGAGTCGTCCCGATCGTGGCCAAGAAATTCTGGAAGTATTGGCTCACAAACTGGCGACCGTTGTCGCTAATGAGATGCACGGGTACGCCAAAACGGGAAATGACATTGCGCCAAAGGAAGCGAGCACATTGCTGAGATGTGATCGTGGCTAAAGGCTCGGCTTCTATCCACTTGGAGAAGTAATCTATGGCGACGATCACGAACTTTCTCCGACCGGGGAGTTGAGGGAAGGGGCCCAAGATGTCTACCCCCCACCTAGCGAAAGGAATTGCGGTCGTGACTGGCTGGTAGAACGTTGC